ATCGGCCGCCAAAAATGCCATCTTGGCCAAAAGGAGTGCCGGCCGCACTAAAAAGTGCTGACCGGCAACAAATAGTGTCGGCCGGCAATATACATTGCCGGTGGCAGCAAAAACCAGCCGGTGGCCTCTAGCCACTGCCGGTGATGGGTGGGGATGGTCACAAGCCCTAACCCTGCCCTTCCAAGGCAAAACCACAAGTTTTGGTGCAAAAGCCAGACACTAAACGGTACGAGTTGGAGATCCTGAGGCAAGGCACGCGAGCCGAGGCCTCCGGGAACTCCAAACGAACACAAACATGGGTGATCACCGTGTGTTCAACGGTGACGTCCAAGTCTTAGGACGGTCAAAAATGGGGTGTCTACAGTTGCCCCTCTTTGACAGAACTCGAAAGTCATAACAATGACGGGAGTGAATGTCAAAGCCCAGAGACGACCCATTTTTGACAAGGTCGAAGACTCAGACAAACATGCAAGACAAACAAGTTATGCGCCCGAAGGCAGGGGCAAAATGCAAGACAATGCACGAAGCCAAGCATAACTTATGATCATGCAAAGAAAGCTGTAACGAAGCACACATGCGACAGTTTTAAGCTAGTATACACCAAACTACACTACAATGCAGAAAGGATGTAAGAGAATTATGCAATTCTCGATACGTCTCGCTCGGAGGATACAATACCTGTGCGGCTCGTCTGGTTGCACCAACCTCAAATGAACCGTACATACAATATCGTGCAGTTTCTTAACTAATTTTGCTTTATAGAGCATAGTGTTCTTGGGATCCGTTCCCGGATAAACTCCAATGCACACTTAAAGGTCTGTTCATAATTCATAGATAACTATATTCTTGACCTCATAATTGCAGAATTACATAACAATTTATACTAGCAGATTTTATGTAGAATATAGAAACTTCCTCATTTTATCTTATGAAATGGATTTAATTTCTTTATTTCAGTGCAAATATCATTTCATCATTTAAGTATGGTTAATATCTTCTCTGTTGCACGATCATATTTCATTAAATTCTTTAAAATGAGTTCGAACATGATGATGATGCAGGACACGGTGATGCTTGGTGCACACAACTATGAAACTGATGCTGAAATTGCAGCAATGTTAGCTGAGGGAAGAGTTCTGATTGGAATAGGAGAAAATACAAAAATCAAGTACAGATTACCAAGTTTGGCATGTACCCAAAAAGTCAAAAAGCCAAAAAATTACTCAAAATGTTAAAAAGTTATCACTATTCACCAAAAGTCAAAAAGTACGGTTGCACAACTCCCAATTCTAATTTTCCCCTACATACTAATTTAAACAATTTTTTAATACACATTTTTCTGTAAAAAGTCAAAAAGTTAACCCAAATAACCATATTTTTTTCCTCAACTTTTTAGTCCAAAAAGTCAAAAAGTGCACTTATTTATGACATCCTAAACAACCCGTAACTTAGACTTTTCCACTTCCATTATTTTCCTAGAAAATCATTTTCTACAACTTTTCCGGTCTCTGATGGCCATTTTTATGATCTTATGCAGAGACTGCATCATTGACAAGAATGCTAGAATCGGGAAGAATGTTGTTATTGCAAACTCAGAGGCATGTTTCTTGAAATAATTTGTTGTGGAAAATATAGGAAAGACTAATGATTTCAGGATAAAAATGGTGGTCCACGCCTTTGAAACTTTTCCTTTGGTTGTCAAGAAAATGAAGAAGAAGAAAAGAAAATTTCAGGATTCCACACACTCAATTAAACTAATTTTGTGTTTTTGTTTTTGTTTTGTTTTTATATGAATTTGCAGGGCATACAAGAGGCTGATAGATTCTCGGAAGGGTTTTATATCCGTTCAGGTATTAGCATCATATTGAAAAACTCAACAATCAAAGATTGGGTTGTGATATGATGAGCATCATCATCATTTTCTCTTTGTTTGTAATTTTTTTTTTTTTTGCTCGATTTAGAGTGGGAAATGAGGTTTAGTGAGATGCGTGCATTGTGTCTGACAATGGCACCAAAGTTGTAAAGAACTTGAAATACTATCAACTATACTAATATGCATATATCCCTTCTTGTTTTGTATTAATGCAAATTGTCATTTTATACCCCCATGACAAATGTGATTCCATTTCTTGAAATCTTAGGATTTCATGAATTGAACATTCTTCAAAAATAGTATTCAGCGTGTTTGGTTTGTGTTTTCTATATTAAGTTTTTTGAAAATTAAATTTTTTATTTTTCGTATTTTTTTGTTTTTACCAAATATTTTTAAAATTGTAAACATTTTTTTTAATTTTTTAGATGCACCTTACTTAGATGTATCTAAAAAGTAAAAAATTTGTGAAAAAATATTTTTAAAAATTATTAAATAAATAAAAATACAAAAAATGTACTGAATTTTCGT